AGCCCGCCGCCCAACCCGCCCAGCGCGCCCAGCCCGCCCCCGCCCGCGCCGCCGTCCTCCGGGCTGTCGCCGCCGCCGCCGCCCTTGTGCTTCTTGCTCATGTAGAAGTCGTCGCCGTGGACGGTCTTCACGTGCTTGCGCAGGGAGCTGGGGTCCGTGTAGCGCTTCGTGCAGCCGGGCGCTTTGCACACGTAGGGTTTCTGAAACGGAACCCACACAGTCGTTAATCGAGTGCAATCAGGGCGGGACTACAAGATAACGCTACAACCCCCCTTTTAGGAGTAAGTTATGATATGCGTCCTACAAGTATATGCTATAGGTATTAAAATACGTAATCGTGATACAATTAAGCCCTTTTTTCTGACACATTTACAGTTCTTTGTGAGATGTACCTATTTTACAAAGAATATTGACTAAATTTAGAATAAGCAACATTATCTGAATTTAAAAGAACTACGATTATATTCCTGAAAATACCTTTAATGCGTAAGATTACACTACAACCTTAGAGAGACCATGTCACTTTGATAAAAAATATTATAAAACCCAACAACCCCCCTTTTTAAAGGTCGTAAAAGTATCTGGTTCGCCCCCCTCGTCAAAAATGAGTTCCCACGGTCCCGAGACACAAGCATGACCTCTTGAAATCACTCAGCTCTCCTCTCATGCTCAAGGATTCTACTCCAAATACCGGGCATATCAATGTCGAGGGTTTCCCGAGTGGGAAATAGCATGCCGAAGAGAAGAATGGCAAAGGAAGAAGAGGGTGACAAAATGGCGAGGGTCGCGCACCGAAAGAGCACAGTACTCACCAGCCACCGTCCCTCATCGTTCACAGCTTGCAAACAAGAGACAGCAGCGTTAGAGAGCGACAGACAAGAGAAGAGAAGAGAAGAGAAGAAGGAAAGACAAAGGCCTTTGGGAATGGTGGGAGTCTAGGTGCTTACGCTAAACAAACGAATGTGAAGAGGGCACTTGAAGAAAGGGAGAAGGTTTTAACGTATAGTTCTACAAGAGGCTCGAAACAATATGGTTAAGAACGATTAGAACTATGAGAAAGTATGGCACACGCATCTTGAGAGGCAACAATTGTAAGATACTGCTTCTTTTGTTATTTTTCTCATGCAATACATATACAAGGAGTAACCTGATATAACACTAAATTCTTTACAGGAAATCCGAAAGGTAAATTTATGGTAACAAATATCTATTTATAGTTAAAATGTGGGAATGGAGTGTGGATCTCAATAAAGCGTGCGCAGATTATACTTCTCCCACATACGTCATCCACAACAGTTTCTACTGTTCTTTCACTAAATAAATGAAATACATTTTTCGCATTCAAATAGATCCATATAACGTTCCAAGTAGGAGTGATTAAGAAAATCATGTAACAACAAACTATGCTCCATATGCCATCAGAATCTAGAGAGAGGCAATCTTCGTACGTAAAATTTGAAAGAATGCAACTAAAGTGTTACTAAGGCAATACCCATCCTATTCAAATCACTTATTAACTCAACCAGACTAAAAAGAAATATTAACGTATAAACATGACAAATTACTATTGAGTCTGTCCAGCAGTGCATATGGGAATGAAAAAAGTACTTGGTAGATTTAGGAACACAAGTGGTGTGTAGTATTAAGTCATATCAAGTAGTATAAAAGGTAAGTAAATAGTTAAATAAACAGAATTCACCGACCTTCATATACACACACACACACACA